CCCACGCCTCACACAGATTTCAGCTAAACATAATAAAACCCCACGGCAGCACTCTATGTCACACCTTTCACACCGAGTGACCCTTAATCGCTCCGTGCATCCGTTAATGCTTCTACTTTAACCCCGTGACGGCTGTAAACGTCGGTGAGGTCATAAAGAGGATGAGGAATGGTTTGAATCCCTGAATGTGCCGCGGAACACCCAACAGACTAATCCGCTCCGCTCTTTACGAGTGATCCAATCCCCCGTGGAAACATCCACACCAACTATAATGAACCCGTTAAAGCCTCTATAAATATTGGCCCCCACGCTTAGTGGTCGTTTGAATGCCTCGGAAATAGACCGCCGTTTACAAACAAGAGGCTGAGCATTGGAAGTTGTGTGGCTAATACATAATCAATGCAGGGACACTCCCTTGCAGCAGACCCGCTCAGAGCCTCGATTCATACGGCAGGCGAGGATATAATGTCATTTAGAATAAGCACAAAACTGCCGTATTGATTAACACATTATCGTTGTCAATAGGAAGGGTGAAAACTGCAGGGGTACTGGGAAGTTGTTGGAAAACAACAACAACAACAATAAAAAAGCATCAGAGCTGTGCAGGGAAACACCCTGCCAGCGTTTTGATGAAAAAATCCCTGGTAGAGCACTCTCCTGTGGGGCGTAAGTGGTACAGTTTATATGTGAGCACAGGTTCTTGTTGACAAAAGTAGGATCCTGCCCATGAAAGGATGAAAGAAAGTTGACTTCTTTCTGCTTCTAAGTGAGCTTGTGCGAATTACACGAGTTGCCCGGATCATGAACGGCCCTCAGAGTGGATTCGGATGGGTGGAATTCTGACAGGAGAGGGAAACCAACACAAGGAAGCTAAAGCTAACGTTCTTTAAGGCTTGCAGTTAAATCAAATTTTCATTTCAATATTTTTTTTTCCTGGAACATTTTTTGCCATATTGCTTGCAATGACTTCACGTACCGATGGCAACCAAGTAAAAAAAGTAATAATTTAATGGCCTTAGAAACGTAGAATCCTGGAATAACCTCATCCAATCCGGTGCTGATCCTCCTCTTAAATGAATGGATCATTACCCATCCATCAAACTGCTCCTCACCCTGTTGCACACGGCGCCGTCTCTGCACAGAATGCCCGTTGTTGGCAGAAAGCTGGTTTATACCTGTGAAATGTTTAGGTGATTGAGTTATTGTCCCTGAATGTTGCCAAGTCTCAACTCCGCTGTCTGCGTAAGGATGAGCGTGTGTGAGTGTGTATGTGTGTGTGTATGTGCGCAAGGCGCCATGAGCAGGTAAAAAGGACAACGTTTGTTTCGTGCTGTGGAAGTTTTGTTGGAGGTGGGGTTTCCCTAACTGTCGGTGGCGCTGAGCTCTTGTGATTTAGCGCTTGCACATAGACTAAGAAATGTCAAGACTGCCTTGTTTTTACCATAAAAGCACATCACGCTATACGCTAGCATAAGATGGGGGGGGGGGGGGGGGGGGCAAGTGGGCGGGGTTTTGCTTTGCTGTGTGTCGGTGTCACAAGCCGGTGTTGTACCATTTTCTGTAACGACCTTTCCTCAGAATGCTGTACCTTTAAAAACGTTAACGTTGTTTTGCAACAATTTTATGTTCAGATTTTCACATTTACACCTTTTTGGATGTCTTTTGGGAATTAAACTTTTTAAAATGAAATGATGTTTGCATTTATTAGATGAAAAACAAGATATTTCTGTGGTCCATGAAGACTTGATGATTTCGGCCCTTGTCTTGAAACGCTTGGACACCCTCGGTCTAGGGCGTAACAGGACTGCCACGGATTTTACTCCTCATTGGCTTTGAGTTACCAAACATTTTATCAGAATATTTATTTCTTAGCCAGATAATTCATATTTACAACAATATACAACCTGCAGGCATGGTGTATCCATGGAACGTGGGTAGCACCTCCAAATGTGCAAAAATCTTCTCTAATGCTCATCTGACGGTATGGACAGGTTAAACCCCAAAATTGGCTTCACTGAAGGACTGGAATGATCAGTTTAAAGACTGAAGGCAGTGAGGAAAATTATATCAGCGCACCCAAACAAATTCTTGTTATCTGAACCTGACGCCCTGGTAGTCTTGAGCGGCAAGCAACAAACCCCCCACGAAGGAATGCAGACAGACGCTGTGAAAACCCGACCCCCCCCCCCCCCCCCCCACACACACACACACACACACCCACCCCCCGCCTTCAAATTGGTGGACTTCAGCCTGGTGAGGTCATCAACTGTAGGAGTCAATGTGCTCCTTGCTTCTCCCAAGATCTCCCTCCCACCTGTGACTGTACAGTAGATGAGTGCCGTAGATGGCTGCTCTCACTGGGGGAAACAGGATTCCCCCCCCCCCCCCCCACCTTCCTATTGGAGTCTCATGTTGTGTTGTGTTGTCTGAAGTCTGTTGCATATCTGTCTGGGGTGTTTTTTTGCAGAGCAATGCGGCCCTCCTGGTGGAGGATAACTCTGAAGTTCCTTTTTTCCCTCCACCTGAACCAATCCTCATGTTACCCTCTATTAAGGTAGCACGACTCAGGTTGCAAATGACCACAGTCACCAATTCTTGTCATGTATGTCTGATCTCTGAATTGTGTGTACTGAAACTCTAATTTCCCTCTGGGATTAATAAATTATTGATTGATTGATTGATTGATGGTTTGTTTTGGGAAGCTCGATGGACTGAATGACGGCACTTTCTCACATTAAAGCTGCGATGGCAAATCTGCAAAACAAGCTAGCTTCAAAGCTTTTTTCATGCCTCCTAACAATGTTCTAACATGATATAACTATACTTCACGAATTTAAAAAAACTAACGAAAAAGAAAAAACAAGGTGGTTTGGTCTAAAACCCTCAGCCAATAACACGACTCGGTCCATGTGACTGGGCCATCCAGTTGTCTGTCTCAAGGAATCACCACACTTCCCCACTCGCACGTTTCACAACAGAACACCACTGGTGTGAGACTTTCACTGCTCAGTAATATCAGAGAAAAAGGAACATGCCCCCCCGCCCCAAATAAAACAATGTTTGAAGACACGGACAACAGTAGAAGTGTGGACACAGAAAACGATGACTGGTGTTGGTGGTGGACAATCTTATTTACTGTTGAAATGAGGACTCTGATAGCAGGGGGCGTGGCCTAGGGATGGTAACCAATGGGAGGGGTGAGATTTCTGTGATTGTGTTTAAAAGTTAGCCTGTTTTGCAGGTTTTGCCATTGTAGCTTTAATGAGGACAAGCACACATTTCAAACTTTTGAGGTTTCAGTAGCATTTGAAACACATGAAGCCACAACAGCTTGGCTCCTCCTCCTAACGCTCGTCCAGTTGCCCTTCTGCACAGACCTTATGCGAGGAAATGCAATCTGCTGGGGTTCCTCAGAATAGAAAAAGAGGGATAATGAACTGAACTCAATGCACTGAATCAATTGGAATATTTAATTTGTTAAGTGCCTTGAGACAACTCTGGTGAACTGGCACTGTACGAAGATGATTCTGATATGAGCATGTACCAACTCAACAAAGTTTCCAGGCCTACACATACTGCCAGTCAGATCCCAGTTATACACCAGCGACTGGCCTGGCAGCCCTTCAAACTCCAAACAAGAGCAAATAGGATCAGGGGAATGCAGCAGGAGGTTCTGGCACATTTTCCAAAGTGCTACCAGATGATTAGCTGTAATGTTGCTCCACAAATACGCATTACTCACAGATCACTGCTCACTGAAAAGGTTACCAATCCGGGCAAGGTGTTTAATCTCTGCATCTTTTGATGAGACAGCCATAAAATAGATTTAATGTGAATCACTCAAACTCTACTCATGTGAACTTTAATTATTGACTCATATTGGGCTGAAGGAGATTAGAAACATTTTAATCCGGTGAATTACTAACTTTTATCATTATTATCCAACAAAGCCAGGGGTTGCACATGGACATCTTCTTGCAGCTCGCTGGATTCTGAAGTATCTGTGTGAAGTTTCTGACCTTGTGTGACATGAACTCAATGAAGAGGTCAGACTAACTGAATCTAGGGGGCTTTCTGGATGCTTCAACGTCAGGAGAAGAAAGGTTAAAACAAAACAACGTAGGTTATAAAAAGAACGCAATTTCCTAAAATAAGTGTAAAGCAAGATTTCAACACGCAAAAATGGGGTCAAATTTAGATAATGAGTTTTAATATCTACGTGAAAACAATTAGCTTCTTGTTTCGCATTTTTGTTGCTGAAATTAAGGCAACATAAAGCACAAAAACTCTGTGAGCTCACACAGTCAGGCTGCAGTCCTGCAGCATCAAATCTGCTGGGTGAGACATCAAAGATGCAGAGTTTCATTTCTCTGATGCTTTTTTAGGAATGAATTTTCTACAATCACAGAAAGTGCACGGATAACCCAAGGCCTCCACAATAAGATCACATGAAATGAGTCAAATTCTCTTTCATGCAGCATCTGCATAAACATTTTGACCCCGTTGAAGATGAGGGGAGTTTTAGAAGAAAATTCAAGTTTCTTGTTAAAAGCTAAAAAAGTGCACATTCTTGCAACTTTGACTTGATACTTGCATGACAAATTTACATTCACTGCATAAATAACCTATGAGAACTAGCATTTGCATAACTTTCTGCTTTTATCAACTTCCTAAAATTGTCCTTTCCCTCCACTTCCTCTGCAGCTTTTTATTTGTCCGTATTCGAGCCTCTTCATCAGTGATTAAGAAAAAAAAACATGATTTAACTCCAAAGCGGAAATCTAGTAAACTTGTCTATCTGTTTAAAAAGAGATATATTGCGCCACTGCGCTATTTTGGCGCACACGCGTCCACGGGTTGCGTCAATCAATTTCTGCAGGAGGTGCGCGTTTCCCTCTCGCCAAAGTGCATCATATTTCTCGTGAGACTCTAATTTCTGGCGGCTTTCTCAATTATTAATGCCACCTGTCTATTACGGCTCGGGGAGGTGAGACGCTTACCTTCACCGACGCACCTTCATTGACTCGTCCAGCTGCTCCCCTTTGGCTGGATGGGAATCCCGTCGACGTGCGCGGAGGACTGATGGTAATTGTGCAGTTTTAAGAGATCTGACAGCGCATCCTTCCTCCTGCATGAAACTACTCTGGTGAGGAGCGGGAATGTCAGTGGGAATATTAGAGTGACAGATGATGCGCTCTGGAGCACAGCGGGAGGAAAAAAGTTATCCTAGAAGTGATAAAAAAAGTTGACAAGAAAAAAAAAAGGAAGAGACTCCGCTCCAACTTGCTACCGTCCGAAACGGGTGTGTTATGAGTGTGCAGGAACCAAAAGGTGAAAGGAAAGCAAAAAGAAACGGTCAGAGGTGCGAGGAGAGCGCGGAGGGGGAGCCATCTGGGCGCGCGGGGAGGGATGAGAGCGCAGCGAGAAGAAGGGGGAGGAAAACGGAGCAGGTGGTGAGCCTGAACCTCCACCTCACCTCACCTCATCTCACAGCAGCCTGGCTGAGGTTTAGGTTTCTATCAGCTGCTGCAGACGTCCGCTCAGACGTGATGCCGAGAGCCGACCCGCGCGGGGAGGAGATGGCACCGGGAAAATATACGGTGGTGGAGCTGGTGGCGGCGGCCAGGAAGCGGATCGATCGGGTTATAATTTTGTCCGAAGTCAAGGGAAAATAAAGTTCACGGAGAAATGAAATCTGAAAACAGATGGCGAGTCCCGTCGCTCACAAATAAGATTCGATCTTCGGGAATTTAGTGTAGATAATATTTGGTTGGACGTTTGATGAGAATGACGGATTTTTCATTTTGGTGGGAGGTGGGGGCGACGGAATGGTGTGTGTGCGTGTGTGTGTGCGTGCGTGTGTGTGTGTGAGAGAGAGAGAGGGGCGGGGTGGGGTGGGGGGGGGGGGGAGATGTGTCTAGGGACAGAAACTAAACTTGGGAGAGCAGGACCGGGCTCCTCTCCCCCCTTCGGATCCATCCAAGGATCTCATCCCCTTTCTCATTTGCCCCCAGTGCGCACAGAGGACCCCCACACCTCCTCTTCCTCTCTCCTCCTCCTGCTCCTCATTCCCTCCCCGCAAAGAGGGCTCGTGGGCGAGGGGAGGAAAAGGAGAGAAAACAAGAATACCAAATAAATGAGAAATTTTCGTACAGGCCCCGCTTCCGTGCGTTCCATGCTAGCAATAACAATTAAATATCGACCGCTTTCCCGGCCGGAGAGAACCTGAGATACCCAGAGACTGCCAAGTACCAAGACCCCTCCTCCTCTCCCCATCTTCCGTATATGCACTCACTCCCTCCCTCATTCTCCTCCTTTTCTCGATATCCCCTCCCTATACACCTTTTTCCTTCTAATCCAAGTCCATCAGGCCAATCTCTTCTAATTTGGTGTATCTCATTTCTCTTGATTCCATCCCACAACCAATTTCAGCTCCACTTTTATCATTGCTGATGTGGAGTTGGCCTCTTGGACATGCTCCAATTTTCTGTCAATGCAAAAGGACTTCCTCACACCATGCATATTAGTTTATGAAAATCAATTATGGGATTGAGATTCACTTCGTTCGCCTCCAAGATGTTACGCAGCAGAAGGAAGCTCAACGAGAGATGGGCTTGCTCTCATTCAGCTTCACCCTGACAATGTGTGTCCCTTTAGTGCTCTGGGTCTGAAACAATATGCCAACTAATAACCCAGAGTCACTCTATTAATCAGGCTGAAATGAGGATAAAACAATGTCAATGGAATGAGAAATGGTATTTCTTTGACTTTGTTGTGCTTTAGATCACCAAACTCTCTCAGTGCCAGCGCCGTTTTAACCTTCGGACGATGATGTTCAAAGTTAAGAGTTGTAAACAAAAACCTGATGACCTAAACATTGACGCAAGTCACACCCAAACAAACAAAATGTGACTCTGAGTTGCCACATGCTCTTTTCAGATTTGCTAACTTTTTGAGATTCTCCATTCTTTGCTGAAAAGGCTTAAGATTCTTGACTGGAAAGGTGGAATGAACTGGTCAGATGCGACTACGTCTCATGTAGGAGGTTAAGCATCTTGGTGTTTTGCTCTCGAGATGAGAAGATAAAGCAAGAAAGGGGCTGATGGATTGAGGCATCCTGGATGCAAGCATATGAAACACGCTTCTTCTGAAGGAAAGCCAGGCTAAGCTTCAGAGATGAAGTGAGGAAATCCATCTGGGGAGAACTTGTAAGAGAATCGATACTCCTCCTCCTCACTAAAAAGAGTGACTTGAGGTAGCGCAGGTACCTCTGGAGGTTTGTGAGGCATCTTCCACTGGGAGATCCAGTACGGAAGACCCAGAATGTACTGGAGAGATACTCCTCTTTGTCTTGAAAATGCATTGGGATCATCTATGAGGAACTGGAGAGTGTTACCTGGATGGACAGATACATGGATGGACGGATGCATGTTGAATGCATGCGTGATTGATGGATGGATGGATGGATGGACAGACAGAAGGAGGAATGCATGGATGGACAGATGGATGGATGGATGGATGGATGGATGGATGGATGCTTGATGGATGGATGGATGGATGGATGGACAGACAGAAGGAGGAATGCATGGATGGACAGATGGATGGATGGATGGATGGATGCTTGATGGATGGATGGATGGATGGACAGACAGAAGGAGGAATGTATGGATGGACAGATGGATGGATGGATGCTTGATGGATGGATGGATGGATGGATGGAAGCTTGATGAATGGATAGATGGATGCATGATGAATGGATGGATGGATGCTTGATGAACAGATGGATGGATGCTCGATGGTTGAATGCTTTGTGGATGGATGGATGGATGGATGGATGGACGCTTGATGAATGGATGGATGGATGCATGATGGTTGAATGCTTTATGGATGGATGGATGGATGGATTGATGCATGCATGCATGATGGATGGATGGATGGATGGATGGATGGATGCTTGATGAACAGATGGATGGATGCTTGATGGTTGAATGCTTTATGGATGGATTGATGGATGGATGGACTGATGGATGCTTGATGAATGGATGGATGGATGGATGCATGCATGATGAAAGAGTGGATGTATGGATGGATGCTTGATGGATGGATGCATGGTGGACAGATGGTTGGATGCTTGATGGTTGAATGCTTTATGGATGGATTGATGGATGGATGGACTGATGGATGCTTGATGAATGGATGGATGGATGCATGCATGATGAAAGAGTGGATGTATGGATGGATGCTTGATGGATGGATGCATGGTGGACAGATGGTTGGATGCTTGATGGTTGAATGCTTTATGGATGGATTGATGGATGGATGGACTGATGGATGCTTGATGAATGGATGGATGGATGCATGCATGATGAAAGAGTGGATGTATGGATGGATGCTTGATGGATGGATGCATGGTGGACAGATGGTTGGATGCTTGATGGTTGAATGCTTTATGGATGGATTGATGGATGGATGGACTGATGGATGCTTGATGAATGGATGGATGGATGCATGCATGATGAAAGAGTGGATGTATGGATGATGGATGCTTGATGGATGGATGCATGGTGGACAGATGGATGGATGCTTGATGGTTGAATGCTTTATGGATGGATGGATGGATGGATTCATGATGGATGCATGATGGATCAATGATTTATGGATGGATGCTAGATGGATGGATGCATGGTGGACAGATGGAGGGATGCTTGATGGTTGAATGCTTAATGGATGGGTGGATGGATGGATGCACGATGGATCAATGATTTATGGATGGATGCTTGATGGATGGATGCATGGCGGACAGATGGATGGATGCTTGATGGTTGAATGCTTAATGGATGTGTGGATGGATGGTTGCATGATGGATCAATGATTTATGGATGGATGGATGCTTGATCAACACATTCTCACAACTAAAGCGTCAAAAACTGATGATGGGGGACAAAGCGTTTGTTTTTGACACCCGCAGTAAATACACATTTCACCGACATTTAACCTCTAACCTCTTGCTATTTAACCTTCCCCTCACCCCCATCCTAACCTTAACCTCGTTTCTCATTCTAAACTTCCCATTAACTGTGTTTGAGAGGGAAGTTACAACAAGGAACAAAGTTTTGCATATGCAAGAGGGTTAAAGTTAGGATGGGGGTGAGAAGGTTAGATAACAAGAGGGTAAAGGTCAGAATTCAGTGAAACCTCCCTTTTCCTGCAGCAGTCAGAAACTGAAGATCTGGCACAGCGCCTCGCCTCCCAACGTGTCGGAAACAAACACTTGGTAATCCATGGTCAGTTTTTATGCTTTGGGTGTGAGAACGTGAATGTGTTGGCTTGATGGATGGATGCTTTATGGGTGGATGGATGAATGCTTGATAGATGAATGGGTGAATGGATGAAATGACGCTTGATAGATGAATGATAGATGGATGGATGGATCGATGCTTTATTGGTGGATGGATGAATACTTGATAGCTGAATGGGTGAATGGATGAAATGACGCTTGATAGATGAATGATAGATGGATGGATGGATGCTTTATGGGTGGATGGATGAATGCTTGATAGATGAATGGGTGAATGGATGAAATGACGCTTGATAGTTGGATGAATGGATGGGTGCTTGATGGATGATGGATGGAATGATGCTTGATAGATGGATGATGGATGGATGGCTTGGTGAATGTTTGATAGATGGATGGATGCTTGATGGATGGATGGATGCTTGATTGATGGATGGATGGATGGATGGATGGATGGACAGATAGATGCTTGATAGAAAAATGGGTTGATGGATGGATGAATGCTTGATAGATGAATGGGTGAAAGGATGGATGGATGGATGGATGGATGCTTGATAGATGGATGGATGGATGGATGGATGGATAGATAGATGCTTGATAGATAAATGGGTGGATGGATGGATGGATGGATGCTTAATAGATGGATAGATGAATGGATAGATGGATGCTTGATAAATAAATGGGTGGCTGGGTGGATGGATGGAAGCTTGATAGATAAATGGGTGGATGAATGGATGGATGGATGGAGGGATGGATAGATAGATAGATAGATAGATAGATGATATATAGATTATAGATAGATAAGTGGGTGGATGGATGGATGCTTGACAGATGGATGGATGAATGGACAGATAGATAGATGCTTGATAAATAAATGGGTGGCTGGGTGGATGGATGGATGCTTGATAGATAAATGGGTGGATGGA